GGATTCCCAGAGCAACGTACAAATCAGAGAATTTACCCGGAGGGAGTTCTTTTGAGATTCTTAGCAAATGCACATCTCTTACTTTTTGTGAAGCGGGAGGCCTGGGATCATAACAGGAGAGAAAAAGATTGAGTTTGCGATGTTAACACTAATATGTAGACCAAAAGCTGGTTATTGCAATAAGTTTGTCAATGCAAATAGTTAATTGATTATAACAATTTAACGAGGGTGAATTTACAACCTGTCTAAAGTTGAAGAAAATGTTAAATTAAGTTTGCATGTAGAGCAATATTATGTTGAAAACAACAAAAAGGCCACAATAAATGAATATATTTTAAATATTATAACCAAACCAATAACTTGTCTCATTAAGCGCCTTTTAAATCATTAAAACATTTCAAGTTAGTGATTATCTAAAAGACTGTCAATTTCTGTAAATGACAATGAACGGGAGAAGAAATCACCACTGCACAAATAAATTGCCCAAACCAAGAAAACTCCATTCTATGAAAACCCGAGTTCCACAACGGACCGAACTTAAAATTAAAAAAAGTGGTTAGAAATTTAAAATGTCAGCAGATTAACGCCTAGAAGACAATCAGCAGCGGAATAGAACATTTCGAAATAGAAAAAGAAAAATATCGACCTACTTTTGAGCTCTGTTTGTCCTTGGTGTCTCCTTGTCCCCTATAGTAAGAAAAATAACAAAACAAAACACTGCTTCACGTCGGTGTTCCATTCTTCCTTAAAAATTTCATTTATATTACAAACTGATTTCAGTGGTGTTTCCAAATATAACGTTTTTTTCTGACACTTTTATAACTTTTTAACATTTAATTTCTTGTAAATTTTGTATTTTTCTTCGATTAAAAGTAAATGCAAATAAAACCAAACATGATGTTAGAGAGAGATGTTGGTCAAACGATCAGATTGGCGTCACCCTTTTGTTTGGTAGAAAAACCCAAAATAGAGCTTGGCCGAGATAAGTAAATTTAATTCTTTATTCTTATTACCTAATCAATCTGTCTGTCAGAAAATAGAACACCAAATTATAATTTGTCTAGGTCAATATCTTATGGCATCAGCGTTTTCTTTTCTTTTCTTTTTGTTTGTTTCCATGTTCTTGCTGTTTAGACGTTTGAAATAGGATATAAGCTTAACATGTATACAGGGGGAACGAATTCCTAACAATGTTGATCTTCTGGAGGTAGGAGGTCATAGAGTAGCGCGAAGTGAGCATGTTAAATTATCCGGTGTTATTATAGATGAGTACTCGTCTTGGAAACCCTATTTAGATGCTATATGCACAAGATTTCGCGAAGGGTTGGTGTCATACGTAGGTTAAGATTTATCCTACCTAAGAATGTTTTATTAATTTTATAAAACAGTATTGTTCTCCCTTACCCGTATTGCAATGTTGCGTGGGGTAACACTTTTAAGACGTGTATTGATATACTTAAAATATTGCAAAAGAATATTGCTGCTATTACGTATTATAGCAAGGATTAGCCAGTCAGCTTCTGTGTGTGTGTGTGTGTGTATGTGTGTGTGTGCATGTGTGTGTGCGTGTGTGTGTTAAGGGGGTTCATGATGTCAGTGATTCAGCTTTTTTTTCCTTCTAAATATGTTTTTAAAGTTACATAACCTTGCTTTTTTGGGTCTCAATTTGGATCTTGTTTGTTCGTCATGATTGCTATGTCTGGTGTTTTTAATAATCTGAACTGAACTGAACTGAACTGAACTCAAGGTTGTTTTTGTTCTGTTTCTTCCTTCTGTTTCTTCTTTTCTTCGTTATAAAAGCTGAAAGCTAAACCAAGGACGTACATTTATATGATTTCAGGCGATTAACACTTACCTGACAGAGTCATCAGGAACATAATCTCTTTCTCTGCGCTTTGTTCCAAAATGAACTTGACAAAGATTTGGGATTTACCAGAGCCTGAAGTGTCAATGCCAAACCGTACATTGACCTCAACTGATTTATGAAACAGAGTTTCATGTTGTGTCTGTTAAGAAAGACATAGGATAAACTTTTAGATACACATTAAATGTACCCATCATGTCAATTAACTAGATTGTATGTCCTAACGATTTGCCTAATATAAGATTATGTTTTCCTCTGCAAGGCTACAGTTTAATGGTGCTACATGTGTCTCCATTAGACCCCGTAGGTATCATCCTAAAGAACATAACGTGTTTCTGATCCCCTGTTAAAGTGGTGGAGTAATCAAACGCACACCCACGTCTGCTCGCAACAAAACACGCACACACACTATCGCCGAGCGATGGTAAATAAAAATTATTCGTATTAATATTATACATGCTTCTATTGATACGCGGTATCACATTAAAACACCTTTGATAGGTAATGTTGCATATATTTGACAGAATAGATAAACATTCATATTCAGGTAATATAATCGAGTAACTTTAATTGTAATATAAACTTTTCATTCAACTGTTACGGTTAGAAAAATGGCATGTTTATCTACTTATTTGTCCTCTCTAGTATACCTCCGTCACAGTATTGAGAGAGGTAGCTGTGACACGCGCGCACGTTCGCGACCAAATGTTAATTCATGGAGTTCCAAATAAGTTCCCTTCTATATAGATATTTTATTTGGGAGGGATTTATTTGGAGCTCCATGATTTAACATTTGATCGCGAACGTGCGCGCGTGTCACAACTACCTCTCTCTCAATACGCTATGCACCGATCATACAGACCAGTTTGTGTTTTAATTTGGGGAAGGGGGTTATTAGGATAAGATATATTAATTCCAAATAATTGGGTTGTGTATATTGTGTACTCTTTATGTAATGCAATTCGAAATAAATAGTATGATGTACATGCATTGAATGAATACAATTAAAAAGAAATACTTAAAAAAATTAAAATTAAAGACATCACACCAACCTAACAAAAACATTGCTCTGAATAGCCAACAAATCGATCAGTGAATTTTGAGTTGGTTTCTCGTTGTAACTAAAGCATTTATATTAACTTGCCTTGGTGTATATTTCCTTGTCGTCTACCTGACAGGTTACTTTCAGATCGCCAGAACGCCATGCCACAAAATACTCTTCTCCCTTTATCGGTGTCACGTATCCTGGTTCGGGCTGATTTTTGTTTTTATATAAAAAGAATATACATGTAAAATGAGAAGAAAGTAGCCCAAAAATTTGAAATGTTATAAACTTATACATAATATACAGTTTACACTTTACATAAGCAAACAAACCACAGGGAATAAAATTGAAAACAAAAATTAAAACAACGCCATTAAGAACGGAAATTTTACCTTAAGATTTGTTTTTGAGGCCCTCATCCTTGTCAAGCATCGATTATAAATTGCGACCTCCTGCACTTTTTCAACATATAGTTGAATATATTCAGTTTCGTTACAATATGAACATATGTACACAACAAACGTTTTGACATGAAATTTGTATTGTTTGTGAATTTTGTATTATACGTTTATATGTTCTTTGTTATTCAGTTATTAAATTGGAAAAGAGCAGAAATAAAATTTAAAAAAAAAAATTAAAAAAAGAACACAGAGAAAACAAACGACTGGATAGCCCATTTTCAGCTGCACTTGCGTAGTGCAGCTTTTCTTCCATGGAGACCAGAAATTAAAAACAAGAAGATTGTGGGGGAGGGGGGGGGGGGCAACAAAACAAAACAACAAGAACAATAGTTTGAAGAAAAAATAAATTAAGGTCTTACGGTATCAATTAGTTGTAAAAGAGGGTTCTAGGACACGTACCCCCTGGACATCCACCCCCGGATAACCAAGCAACAAGTAATGTATGCCATTTATATTCTGATTAAAGAACTAAATTATTCCGAACAGGTGAAATAAATCATTTGTACATGGCACTTAAAGTATACGCAAAACACTTCATTATAATATGAAAATGGTATATTTGCCCTGCTCCAGCCCATGTTGCTTGTCATTTTGCGGTGAACCTCATACGCAGGTTCTGTTGTCTTGAACCAGTAACCTCGACGACAAGCTAATATGACATAAGTACTTTCCAAGTCTTTAAACAAACTGCCCCGAATTCACAAAAGAGGTTTGTCGACAAACCTAGGTTTATGTGCGTCATATGACGCGTTTCGACGCGTTTTTACAGACCAAGGTTTGTAAAAACGCATCGAAACGCGTCATATGGCGCACATAAACCTAGGTTTGTCGACAAACATCCTTGGTAAATTCCTGCCATTGTGTCACAATACCCCTTTCCTTTCATACCTCCGCTTTCCCTTGGTTACTGTCTCTAATGCAGAGCCTCAACAGATGCTTAGTGTTCATAGGGCTTGGTTCGGGTACGAAAGGCGTACAGATGACACGCTTGCCCACGAATACCTTTGTGATGAAGGCAACAATCCACCATTCAGAGAAGTGAGAGATATAGAGGTCAAGGTCTCGCTCTCTAACAACACATCGAGGGTCACCATTGGCAGCGGAAATCAACGAAAAACTGTCGGAGCCTTTAAATTGAAAAAAAAAGACATATGCGTAATCACAATTTGTTCTTGTTTGCAAAATCGAAAACAAAGCAAAGTAAATACAAATACAAATTTCAGAGAACGCAGAAGCGACGGGGAGGGTGAGTACCCCAGTTTTTTTTACCACCGATTATACGATAGATCACCCCAATGTATACCTCTTTAAAAGAAAAAAAACGTTGTTATGTTTGAAGCAGAAAGAAATTTTCTCAAGACGGTATCTCAAAAAAATAATTAAAAACAAATCTCTTTATCGAAATTCATGATCTTGAATTGGTGTCATTTTGCTTCAGATAAAATGATCTACCCAATTTACAAAAGCAAATGACATTGTGTCAACTTGACGTTGAAATTACAGACTTTGTTGAATACTTTTAGGTGTAAGCTTGAATATGTCCCATTCTCTAGAAACATGAAATTCAGGACAAGTCAATTTTTCACATACTTCAAAAATTACAAAACTTGGTAAGGTTTGAATAATTTAGTTAACTGTAAAGATTCTTACTGCTTTTCCGATGGTACGTCCCAATAGATGCAGTATCGGGACTTGTAAAAATTGCTGAATGGGGCATCGTCACTTTTACTGGATATTTATACTTTGCATCAGACGGTGACGCCTTAAGGCCAACACAAATTAGTGCTTGGTCCTCCGTTAACAGGTCTATCAGTTCAACTGGAACTTCAGGTACTGCCTGGATGTCATCAACGCCCCAAATCTCACTTGGATGAAACTGGACTTCAATGCCATACTTCTCGATACGAATCAAGCCTGCTTGCTGATCGGATGCCCCCGTGGAATCACGAATTGTTTTTGAGGTCTCTACGTTTGCTTCGTTTTCCACCTGTTTTTCGACACTCCCGCTTTCCTGTTTTGAACCAACGACTGGATCTACAACGAAACAACCAAAGACGGATTTCCTGTTTAAAGTGTATATAGGCCAACATGTAATTACTTAATTTTCGGTTTAAGTGATGGTCGTTCTTACAATTGACTTTTTTAAATAATGGAAATTTTATGACGCAAATAATACGGTAAGGTATATATATATATATTTTTTTTTTTTGGGGGGGGGGGGTTGGATCAATATGGATGTGGATATATTTCTTACCATTTTGCCTTTTGATAGGTATTTTGTAAGACGAATCATTAATGGTTTAGCATAAATAAGGAACAGCATTATCTTTTAGAAACAATTATTTCAACAGCAGGTTAATTATCCCCATGCCTTTTGTACACACTGCCATACACTGAACGGCGAGGGCTCTGTATTCACTGTTCCTACGTTAATAGCTATTTTCAAAGCTTCTTTTCCGTAGTTGTGTTTGACTGTTCAAATTAATAACTAACCTATATTTGGTTGCCCATGTTAAAATTATTAGCTTTCGAATCAATCCCTAAGGTTTTTGCCCAATTAGGTCATTATTTCAGGTGTACAGTACGTCAAGTTAAAACATTTCATTAAAGATCGTAATAGCCCTACGAAACCTGGGATCGTCAATTCAAAGTTTAGGTACTTTCTAAAGCATATTGTAAAGCAGAAAATGTGTTGTATTGTCAGTGTTCCTCGTGGCCCACGCCCTCCTTTTTTTCTCGACCTGTCTCTTTCGGTGGATCTGAACCTGACATATTTCAGATTTTAAAAAGAATTACTCAAATCCTCTAGCTGTCCACGGATTTCCTCGGGTTTCATTAGTTGCAATAAAATACATTCATCACTAATGATGAAGGCCTATACAAGTTCACAATTTTCATTTAACAAAGGAGGTTGGAATGTGACTATGCCAGCTCAATGGAATGACCTTATCAACGTAGTGGTCATCTCCCCTTAAAAATCCAATCTCAACATCCGATTCAGATATTATTCTAAATGAATGATATTAATTATAAATTATAAACAGGAAATGTCAAAGAAATGTACAGAAAATAAGCCGAAAATACAGATAATACACAATACCAACTGAACTAACCATTATCGATAAACTCCGCGTGGAGAGGTGTGCTGCAGTCATTATCAGCCCTATTTGGTTCTGCTTTGTGGCCAATGAGAAAATGTACAACATCGAGGTGACCTTTGAGTGATGCCGCTTGGAGAGGTGTGTGCCCCCCAATACCAGCCCTATTTAGATCTGCTCCTTGGCCAATGAGAAACTGTACGACATCGAGATGACCATTAAATGAAGCCGCTTGAAGAGGTGTGCGCCCAACAATATTATTTAGATCTGCTCCCTGGCCAATGAGAAACTCTACAACATCGAGGTGACCTTTGAGTGATGCCAATTCCAGAGATGTGCTGCCGTCATAACTGGAACTATTTAGATCTGCTCCTTGGCCAATGAGAAATTGTACGACATCGAGGTGACCGTTGGAAGATGCCACTTGAAGTGGTGTGCGCCCGCCAATACCTGGCCTATTAAGATCTGCTTTTTCGCCAATGAGGAACTGTACAACATCGAGGTGACCATTTAATGATGCCGCTTGGAGAGGTGTGCGTCCACCAATACCAGCTCTTTTAAAATCTGCTTTTTGGCCAATGAGAAACTGTACAACATCGAGGTGACCTTTGAGTGATGCTGCTTCTAGAAGTGTGCTACCATCATTACCATGCCTATTTAAATCTGCTCCTTGACCAATAAGAAATTGTACAACATTAAGGTGACCATTGGATGATGCGACGAAGAGAGGTGTCATACCATCTTTATCCACACTATTTAGATCTGCTCCCTGGCCTATAAGAAACTGTACAACATCAAGGCGACCGTTTGCTGATGCGGTGTGGAGAGGTGTCCTGCCATCCTTATCAACCCGTTTTAGATCTGCTCCTTGACCAATAAGAAACTGTACAACATCGAGGTGACCATTTGATGATGCCGTGTAGATAGGTGTGCGCCCATTAATACCAGCCTTATTTACATCTGCTCCCTGGCCGATGAGAAACTGTACAACATCGAGGTGACCATTGAATGATGCCATATAGATGGGGGTCCTTCCATCCTTATCCGTCCCTTTTATATCTACTCCTTCTCCAATAAGAAACTGTACAACATCGAGGTGACCCTTGAGCGATGCCGCGTAGAGTGGTGTCCTTCCATCCTTACTAGCACAATTTAGATCTGCTCCTTGGCCAATGAGAAACTGTACAACATCGCGATGACCCTTGAGCGATGCCGCGTAGAGATGTGTCGTGCCATCATTATCCGTCCTTTTAAGATCTGCTCCTTGGCCAATGAGAAATTGTACAACATCGAGGTAACCTTTAAGTGATGCCACTTCTAAAGGTGTTCTGCCATCGTTACTAGCACTATTTACATCTGCTCCTTGGCCAATGAGAAACTTTACAATATCAAGTTGACCATTGAATGATGCTGCATGGAGAGATGTCCAGCCATCCTTAACTTCCCTATTTATATCTGCTCCTTGGCCAATGAGAAACTGTACCTCATCAAGGTGACCATTTAAAGATGCTGCGTAGAGAGGTGTCTTGCCATCATTATCTGCCCTATTAGGATCTGCTCCTTGGCCAATGAGAACCTGTATAACCTTGAGGTGACCATTGAATGATGCCCCATGGAGAGGTGTGCAGCCATCATTATCAGCCCTATTTAGATCTGCTCCTTGACCAATAAGAAACTGTACAACATCGAGGTGACCATTGAATGATGCCGCGAAGAGAGGTGAACTGCCATCTTTATCCGCCCATTTTAAATCTGCTCCTTGGTCAGTTAGAAAATGTACAACATTGAAGTGACCATTGAATGATGCCGCGTAGAGAGGTGTCCTGCCATCTTTATCCGCTCTATCTAGATCTGCTCCTTGGCCAATGAGAAACTGTACAACATCAAGGTGACCATTGAATGATGCCATATAGAGGGATGTCCAGCCATTCTTGTCCGCCCTTTTTAGATCTGCTCCTTGGCCAATGAGAAATTGTACAACATCGAGGTGACCTTTGAGTGATGCCGCTTGGAGAGGTGTGCGCCCACCAATACAAGCCTGAGATAGACCTGCTTTCTTGCCAATGAGAAACTGTACAACATCAAGGTGACCATTAAATGATGCCGCGAAGAGAGGTGTCCTGCCATCTTTATCCGCCAATTTTAAATCTGCTCCTTGGTCAGTTAGAAACTGTACAACACTGAGTTGACCCTTGGATGATGCCGCGTAGAGAGGTGTCCAGCCATCTTTATCCGTCTTTTTAAGATCTGCTCCTTGGCCAATGAGAAACTTTACAATATCAAGTTGACCATTGAATGATGCTGCATAGAGAGGTGTCCAGCCATCCTTATCTTCCATACTTAGATCTGCTCCTTGGCCAATGAGAAACTTTACAATATCAAGTTGACCACTGAATGATGCTGCGTAGAGAGGTGTCTTGCCATCATTATCTGCCCTATTAGGATCTGCTCCTTGGCCAATGAGAACCTGTATAACCTTGAGGTGACCATTGAATGATGCCATATAGAGGGATGTCCAGCCATTCTTGTCCGCCCTTTTTAGATCTGCTCCTTGGCCAATGAGAAATTGTACAACATCGAGGTGACCTTTGAGTGATGCCGCTTCTAGAGGTGTCCTGCCATCTTTATCCGCCCTTTTTATATCTGCTCCTTGGCCAATGAGAAACTGAACAACGCCGAGGTGACCATTGGATGATGCCGCGAAGAGAAGTGTCCTGCCCTCTTTAGCTGCCCTCTTTATATCTGCTCCTTGGCCAACGAGAAACTGCACAACATCGAGGTGACCATTGAATGATGCCGCGAAGAGAGGTGAACTGCCATCTTTATCCGCCCATTTTAAATCTGCTCCTTGGTCAGTTAGAAAATGTACAACATTGAAGTGACCATTGAATGATGCCGCGTAGAGAGGTGTCCTGCCATCTTTATCCGCTCTATCTAGATCTGATCCTTGGCCAATGAGAAACTGTACAACGCCGAGGTGACTATTGAGTGATGCCGCGAAGAGAGGTGTGCTGCCATCTAGACCCACCTTATTTAGATCTGCTCCTTGGCCAATGAGAAACTGCACAACATCGAGGTGACCATTTGATGCTGCTGCATGGAGAGATGTCAAATCAATATTTTCAGCCCCAGGAAGGTCTGCTCTTTGAATCTTGTCCCCATCCATGATAATAATTCTACTGATCTAAGTGTCTCCCTGTAAATTCTAGACTATTATAACTGAAGTCTATTTGATCAACCAACTAGAACTGTCGATGAAGACATTAATTTATTGTCGCCCCAAACGACTCCAAGCTATGGGACGAAGATAGATAGATAGACAATACCGTGCTGCGTGTTATCTGCTCCGGATAACGGCTGGCAGTGGTTTAATGCGCCTGCAAACTTCGTTAGAACCGCGCAATTATTCTTGCCCAGAAAGGAGATCACTTCGTCTCAATACATATTATATTAAAATGTTGAAGTCAGCTGCATCGGCACGTTCTATTAACGTAGAAACATGACGGCCATCCATTATCCCATTAATGTCACATATCCAACACCTCCTCAACGTAGTCAAATCTCGAATGTGTATAGGCGGCCTAGGCCTACAGATATGGCAATGTTATTATTCCGAAATACAAAAAACCAGCGCGATCTCATAGGAAGCATGTATGATATGACGTTTAGTACAGGCTACAATGTACGCAGCTCTATTCCCAGTTAATGTAATATGACCCTAAAGCACTCAACCGTCATTCGCGTGTGAATTATGCTAGCTGCTTCCTCAAAATTGAATATTGTAGAAATGGAAATATAACTTGAATTTAGATTCTGTTTACTTTTGTACTCGGCTCAATGAATAGTCGATAATAGGCCTATACAAGGTGGCCAAATAAAAAAGGGACTAGCAAAACATGAGGAAGAAGAATATGTTCTCGTGAAAAATATGCTACCAACATTTACAGATTTGGTAGATGTTCTTTTGTTTTGGGGAGCATGTTGTGATACAATAATTCATAGGAGTTCAAGTTTGTCCAATTATACAAAAACATAATTTAAAAAACATGAATATTATTTTATATCTGCGTTAAAATCATTAAAAACGCCTGTACAAATATTGTTTAGAAAGTGAATTTATGTTCAATCTGATGTTTATTACAGCTTGACCAATGCATGCATGAATATCATTCTGAAAATCAACAATGATACGTGATATTCGCATAGAGCACTGCCAGTGGATCTTTTTAATATTTTTGCCAAAAATTGCATCCCTAAAATACGAAATTTGGTTTGTAGAGGTGTCGTGGTCTATAGTAAATACCCGTCATCGGACTGTGGATCAAATGGTTCGCGGTTCGAGTCCCATCGCGCGACACTAATGTACTTTGGCGAGAAAATATAATCTACAATTACCACTCTCCACCCAGGTGAAGTGAATGGGTTTCTAGTAGAAAAAACTTCATTGAATGTTTGAGCCCCTTATCATGGGGGCTCGTGCGGCTTCATGTTATACAGCCGGTGTATTACATAAATATTATTATTATATTATCAAAACGTTCTTTTTAAAAGATTCCCCATTCACTGATACCGGTAAAATTTGCTTTGCATTATATGCGAGTCCGTTTTTTTATTGTCACCCTGTCGTTATAGGCGCAGCTAGTCGACTGGGACAGACAAAAGAAGTATGAATGAAACACATACCAGTCTCTAAGGCTCAGCGCACACTACACGATTCGAATGCGATCCGAGTTTTAAAGAATTTACAACAGCTAGCGCGTTTTACATGAACATTAAAACATGTAAAATGTGAATGATCGTGGTGAGTGCGCCCTTTCATCTGTGGTGGGTGTCTACTTTCAGGTGCGAAAAGTGCCCCTTTTTCTTCCACAAATGCCCCTTTTCACCTCTGATTATTGCCCTTTTTACTTTGACATGTGCCCCTTTTCCTTCCTAATAAGTGCATTTTTTCATACTGATGAGTGCATCTCTCATTTTTTTAATAAGAACCCCTTCCCCTTTTATTTTCTGCTATGCTATAACATTGTAATTTCATCAAAAATCGGATTGGAGGACGAGAGGAGTGTGCGGTGGTCTTTAATCTACAGTGTGGGTCAAAAAAAAGTTACACCTAGAAAATTGCTAATTATTTTTAAAATAATGAACAGTAAAATATTATACATGTTATGAAAGAGTATTTTATCCCAAATCATTCTGTATAATTTTTGTGTGGTATGTGTTCACGTTTAGATGAACAGGAGGCATTGTTTGCGAGAGTGCACAAATCGACTTGCGCCAAAGTTGCTCATGTGATATTTGAATTAAATAATTGGGATTTTGGTATTAATTCGGTCTGTGTAGATCCAAATAACATCCCTAACAAAAATTAATTATGCCACACATATCAAATATCAATGAATAATTGTACGTGCGTGTGTGTGTGTGTGACTTTGCTTCTGCAAATAGCATATGCAATGCATTTCATTTGATACATTCAATTCATTCTCTCACTCCGCTAATCCTTACATAATACATACTGTAGGCATCACTTTGGCGCAAGTCGATTTTTGCACTCTCGCAAACAATGCCTTCTGTTCATCCAGGCGTGGAAGCATACCACACAAAAATGCTACCAAATGATTTGGGATAAAACACTCTTTCATAAGATGTATAATAATTTACTGTACATAGATAATTTAAAAATAATTAGCAATTTTATAGGTGTAAACTTTTTATTGACTCACACGGTATACTAGTTCATTTCCTCCCTCCCCATTTTCTCTCTTCATCTCGCATTCTCTTTCTCTCTCTCTCTCTTTCTCTCTCTCTCTCTATATATATATATATCTCTATCTCACTTTCTTTTTACATCTCTCTTCATCTCTCTCTCTTTATCTCTCTCTATCTTTCTTCATCTCTCCATTTCTCTGACTCTTTATCTATCTCCCAACGTATACGTCTTTATATCTATCCATCTATTTGATTTTCTCTCCCATCCCCCCTTTCTTTATGAATATATATATATCTCTCCCTCTCTTCCTTTTTTAGTCGTAACAGAATATTTCGATTCATATATTTAGTTACAGCTTCGTATTTGAGGTCACTATAAGTTGTACATGAATGTTGATGGTAGAGTAAAGATATAGGCTAATAAGAATTACAAATGTAAAAATCGTTTAGAGTTTTCTTTTGTTTTTCAGATTATCAGACGAGTCAACTCACATCCTACTGCGAATATAAACATACGGCAATTCTTTCGACTGAAATATTAAGAAACAAATATTGTTCACTGTCGAATCCGGTTGTGGTGTCCAATCTGAAAAGATTATTTCCGCCTGGCAATACTGTTCTTCGAGTTATTCATCAATGATGATTAGATGGCGCTGTTTTCTTTTCTCTGGCTCAAATATCGATTAAGTCTTTTCAGTGTTTCATTTTTTTGTTCAACAATGCTCCTGGAAGAGTCGCCATTTAGTTTCACAGCTTCATTTCGGTTGGTTCTGACCGTTACATCGATGGTGTTGGCAATAATTTAGGTGTCGACATAGTTTGTTTTGAAATTGCCTCATTTTTTCATTTTTTTTTTTTTTTTTTATATTTTTTTTATATAGTAGTGCTGGCTGGATTTAAGACAATGAAGGTAGCCGGGTCAAAGGTCACGATGTACAGTTTGACTCTGACGGAGAACCATCAACATCTTGAAAATATGCCCTACATAGGAGAAGATAAAGTTCTAAATCTTAACTTGAAGAAGCCCTATGGGCAAAATCTAGTTTATCCTCAACTTGTCAACAGAGATTTTTTTACCCTGCCCAATATCAATCGTTCATATAATTTATATATATATATATATATATAGTGGACAGGCGTTTTCACGAGGTTCTTGAGACGAGGGAAATTACCATGTAATATCAGGAATTTAGTTATATTATAGGAATGACAGGTGCAACACAAATGGCAAGTAAAAGAGTTGCATGGTGTGCTCTTGTGTAGACCACAGCAGCGTTTTACAGCGCCACCTGAAGTTGATGATGATGATAAGAATATAGACAGCTGGGACCATCAAAATCACCTTATATAGCAGATACATTAATATATCAGAGCTCTCTATATGTGTGTACGTACATGTAAACGTGTATACACACATGCACACTCGACCACCCACACACACACATACACAGTGTATAGTCCTGCGTCATTTGAAGAAAAATAGACAGCTAAAAATCAAATAATTAAACGACCGTAGGAGATACAAATATTAAATGACAATAATTATTTAAAACAAGTACATACTTACAAAAAAAATTAAAAAAGCACAGCTACTAACTTTAGAAAGTTTATGTACAAAATGGTGACACTCTGAAGAGTAGAAAAGTATTTACAGTGATTCAAGGACTCTCACCTACTTATTTACTCTCTGGTAGAATAGTTATTATTCAATAGGCCATTTTTTGTAACACCACGAAATTTAATGCACACATCTTTGTTTAAGGCCTCGTTGAAAATTATTTCATTCCCCTGTTACAAATAATTTTATTCCGATAGTCAAGATGAGAAGTGCATACTTTCCGCGTTGTTAGGTAGGACAAGCCATAATGTTTGTGGGGGGGCGGGGGAGGGGGATTTTAATATTTGAAAATTACGCCGAAAATTTCGCAACGACTCAGCCAGCCGCTGAATAAGCGTGGGGGTAAGAGGATATATTTTGTGTTTGTGTGTGTGTCCCAAAATTTGAAAATTTGGCCGACCGGCCGGGGAGGGGGGGGGGGAGGGTCGGCTTTTTTGTGGATCACCCAATATTTATTTTTTTCGCAACGACTCAGCCAGCCGCTGAATAAGCGGGGGGGGGGGGGGGGCGGGGGTTCCGAGTACATTTTTATTTTATTTTTGTTGTCCCATAATTTGAACATTTGGCCGATCGGTCTTTGGGCGGGGGTATGGTCGGCTTTTTGGGGTCACCCATTACCACTTTTTTTTTTCTTTTTTTACTAAGATTAGTACGCGCCTGCCCTGCATATTGTATGCAAGTTTGAAGTTTATTCTGTAACTCCTTTCAAAATCATTCAATGAATAATAAAAACATACAGATAATCAATTTTATTTAGTTCAACGAAATTCAAAGTTACACTTCTTGTTTCATCATAAATAAATATGACCTCATTAGAATACAATTGTCTCGTGTGATTCTTTTAGCATAAGTTATTGATCTTTTCATAAGAAAATGTTTCATCTGAATAATAACATGCTACAATTGATAAAGCTGCTTGAATACGTAATTTCTTTTTTCAATAATCTAAAACCCCATTTGGTTCACTTGTAACCTGAAGTATCGGAAAAAACGTAAGTTGAAAATTAATGACACATGAAAATAATTAAAACGTCCATGTGTATTACATGTCATTGTTCTAGTGCTATGCTATCCTCAAGGTAGATCTCTCCAATCTGCCTTGCATTTATTTCACAAAATAATATATGGCCTCATATAAACATGCATATTTGTTATGTCGATCTATTACTCCTAGAATTGAATTCCAAAATCTTTTTGTGTAGTATTTGAACGAAATTGAATCATTATCAAAAACATGCTCCCGAATGGACAATTCACATTTAAAATCCTCTAAAATGCACGTCACTTCATGTTTATTATTTCAGTTTGCATATTCTCAGTTTTCTATTTCCTGTAAAAGGCAATTACAAACCTCGTATCCTAAAAGCCGGGGTAAACAGTATTAATACGGATGAGGCTACTCTGAGCAAATACTACTTTAAAATTACTGTTATTATTATTAGTGTTGTTTTGTTTGTTGTTATCATTATTGTGATCATTATCATTGTTGTAGCTTTAAACAAATACCACTATTTTAATCAGATACATTAAGTTAAATCAAACGGACTTTGCCTTGCATTCTGAGCAAAGTAAATATAATAAATGCATTCACATCGCAGCTTGAAAAGCTGAACTGCCTTTTACCTGTACATTCGCTCAAACCTTATTAAGGCTCTAGATCTATAAAAATATATATATATATATTATCTTATCTGACATAACAAAAAGTGTTTTTCTTTAAATACATCTTTGGCCAATTATTTACAGCTTTATCATCAAAACAAAAACGGGAAAACAAAATCTTATTCGTTTTCTATCCGTACAAGGAAATTTCATTTGTCATGTTCACTTAGTGATATTTTAAAATCGAATAAATATCAATAATCAATTTATCAATTATCGAATTTGCAATACCATTATTTTCTGTTCAACATTATTAAACAATTCATTGATTCATGATATTCAGTAAGCAATATAACAGTGTAAATATTTACAATGCAACCTCATCAAATAACATCTTGGCATAAACTACATTTACAGAAAAACCCTTAATTTTACTCACCGGTCGACACCAGCTACACTGTGCTTAATCTACATGCATGAATACTACAGTCCAACTCTCATGTAGCAAAGGACATTCATTAGGATATATACTTATTTTTTGGCAATACCGGTACAAAAGTCTTAGCAGTTACATTTAAACAAAACTTTCTTTAAAATATTGACTTTTACAAAATGACATCTAATCAGTAGGAGGTAAAGCTTGCGCTCAATTCAATTTTACAATGTTATACATGTAGCTGGCATAATCAATTACAAAATAGTTACATTTGCCTAAAACAGACACACAATACATTCAAATTGCATAGTACTTCAATTGTTTTGTATTAACAATAACAGATTGTAAATTGCTAAACATTATCAATAGCATTAAAACTGAAAGATACAAGTATCAGCCTATCAGATGCAGTAAAAGGCATGATTCGATGGCCTATACAATTACACCAGTAAACAAGTCACAAGTAATTCGTACTATGTGTTTATCTTATTAAATAATCTAAAGTGGTAACATGATATTTATGATAAACAGTTTAATAAAGTATAATCACCATTAACACATTAACGTACTTCAAATAAAAATATGAATCAAAATTCTGTTTTTGCTGCACATATAGTTCTTAAAGAGCCTTTTTATTTGCTTTGTACACTAATTGTCAGATGGCAGGCATAAGGTTCAATAATACGCAAACAGCGGTCTTTAACTTACCAGGCGTGGAAGAAGAAAAGAAATCTCACAATTTCTTCTGCAGCAAACAAATGAACAGTCACCTTCACTGTCAACAACACAGTGTAATTAGATGTTCTATCTTAGTTTGCTCTTATTTATACTTGGATCTAAGACCACCGGCCCTAGACTCAACAAGAACCTGGTCCAGGTCTCTCAGGGTCCTATGGGATTCTGTCTTCCACAGCTGTAGAAGGTGCATGTATGTATCTGGATAGTCATTTATCTTCTGCGTTAGGATCCCTTGTGCAATACTTGGTTTGATCCCCAGAGTAAGGTGCAGAGCGGAGAAATGATCCGGAAGGAGTTCCTGTGAGATTCTTAGCAAATGCATATCTGTTACTTCCGGTGAATCGGTAGGCCTGAGATTAAAGGAGAGACAAAGATTTAGTTTGTGATGAAAACACTAATATGTAGGCCTACAGCTGGTTATGGCAAAAAGTTTGTCAATGATAATAATTAATTGATTAGACAAATGTAACGGTGGCCAATTTACAACCTGTCTAAACTTGGCGAAAGTGTTAAATAAGCTTTACATGTAGAGCATAATTATGTTACAAACAATATATAGGCTTCAGTATTTAATATATTGTTATAATATTATAACCAAACCTATGAATTGTCTCACGAAGCCCCTTTTAAACTCTTTGAACCAATCAAATTAGTGATCATCTAAAAAGACTGTCACTTACTTAATTGACAATGAAATGAAAAAGAAAATACCACTGCTCAAATAGATTGCCAAAGCCAAGAAAACTTAACTTCATGAAAATCCAAGTCGCACAACAGACCCAACTTAAAATCAGCGAAAGTGGTCAGAAATAAAGTACCGAAAAGTTCAGCACAGTAACGCCCAGGACAAAATCAGCAGCGGAATAAAACAATTCGAAATAAAATAAAATAAAAAGATAGACCTACTTTTGAGTTCCTTTTGCCCTTGGTGTCACCTGGTCTCCTATAGTAAGAAATGAAGAAAAAAAATGAAACACTGTTTCACGTTGGTGATTCCTTTTTCCTAAATATATTTTCAATCAAATACTGAATTCCATTGGTATTTCCAACTGTAATATTTTTCTGACACATTTTCTGGGGACGATTTTATAATTTGTTAACATTTTAAAATTTCTTGTATTTTTTTTTTCGAAACCTAATTCCTGTCGTTTAAACGTTTGAAACAGGTTATGAGATTAACATGTATACTACTAAATGTTGTTGTTCTTCTTCTTACTTCTCCTTCTTCCTTTCTTCGTTATAAAGCTGAAAGCTAAGCTAGGGGCCTACATTTAAATGTTTTTAAGCGATCAACACTTACCTGACAGATTCATCGGACAAATAATTTCCATCTTTGCGCTTTGTTCCAAGATGATCTGAACGAAGACTTTAGATTGGTCAGCGGCTGGAGTGTTAACGATGAACCGTACATTGACCTCAACTGATTTATGAAACAGAATTTCCTGTTGTGTCTGTTAAGAAAGACATAGAATAACGATTTTAGATACACATTAAATGTACCCATCATGTCATTTAATTAGATTTTATGTCCTAACGATTTGCCTAATATAAGATTATTTTTTCCTCTGCAAGGCTACAGTTTAAAGGTGTTACATGTGTCTCCATTAGACCCCGTAGGTATCATCCTATATACATAAAGTGTTTTTGATCCCCTGCTAAGATGATGGAGTAATCAAACGCACGCACACACACACACACACACACCCACACACACATCTCTCGTCCCAACAAAACACGCACACACACTATCGTCGAGCGATGCTAAATAAAAAATATTATTATTATCATTATTCTATTGATACGCGATATCAAATTAATACACCTTTAGTATGAAATGTTGCATATATTTGACAGAATACATAAACATTCATATTATAATCGAGTAACTTTAATTGTAATGTAAATTTTTCATTCAACTGTTACGGTTAGAAAAATGGCATAACTACTTGTTTTCCCTCTCAATTATACCCCCATCACAGTATTGAGAGAGGTGGGTGTGCTCCAAATAAGTTCCCTTCTATATAGAGATTGTGTGTGGGAGGGAACTAGTTACAGCTCCATGATTTAACATTTGATCGCGTACGTGTCCGCGTGTCACAACTATGTCTCTCAATACGCTGTGGAACTATCATACAGACCGACATCGCACCAACCAAACAAATACATTGCTCTGAATAGCCAACAAATCGATCAGTGAATTATGAGTTGGTTTGTCGTTGTAACTAAAGCATTTATATTAACTTGCCTTGGTGTATATTTCCTTGTCGTCTACCTGACAGGTTACTTTAAGATCACCAGAACGCCATGCCACAAAATACTCTTCTCCCTTTATCGGTGTCACGTATCCTGGTTCAGGCTGATTTTTGTATGATATAAAAAGAATATATATGTACGATGAAAAGAAAGTAGCCTAAACTTATACATAATATACAGCTTACACTTTACATAAGCAAGAAAATTACATGCATTAAATTGAAAACAAAATTAAAAAAGACAACATTTAGAACGGAAGAAGGATAACGTTTAAACACTTCATTTTTCATTTTAAGTTTTACCTTAAGATTTGTTTTTGAGGCCGTCATCCTAGTCAACCATCGCTTTTGATTGCGATCTCCTGCTCTTTTTCAACAGATAGTTTGGATAACACTTAAAATATATAATAATATGTTATAGAAATATTAAGTTTTGTTACTATATGAACAAATGTAAACTAAACGTTTTGACATGAAATTTGTATTGTTTGTGAATTTCGTATTATTCGTTTATATGTTCTTTATCATTCAGTTATTATATTTGGAAAAGAGCACCAAAAAAATGAAATGAAATAAACAAGAAGACAGAGAAAACAAACGACTGGGTAGACCATTTTCAGCTGCACTGTAGAGCAGCTCGTCTTCCATGGGGACCAGAAAGAAAAACAAGAAGATGGGGGGGGGGGGGGGTGGGTGGTGCAATAAAACAGTTCCTAAAGTTCCTAAATACAAATTATTTCATTCACCCGTTAAGAATGATAGTATTTCAATAGTCAGAATACAAACTGCACATATGAAGTGTTGCTAGGTATGGCAAGCCATAATGCGTGTCCAACCTGGCAACAACTAATGTATGCAGTTTGTATTATGTCTATTGAAACACTATTATTCTTATCAGGTGAATGAGATTTGTATCGATGCAAAATTGCATGTGGCAAACGTTCCGTATTGTAGGACAAGGCAGGAAAAGCTTTGATGTTTGTCCTTTCATCAAGTATGACATTTATATTCTGAATTTGAACTAAATCATTCCTAACAGGTGAATTCAATCACTTAAAGTGTGCGCATAACACTCCATTACAATATGAAGATGGTCTATTTGCCCTGCTCCAGCACACGTTGCTTGTCATTTTGTGATGAAATTCATACGCAGGCTCTGTTGTTCTGAACCAGTATCCTGGACGAAAAGCGAATATGACATAAGTACTTTACTAATCTTTAAAAAAATTGGCCCGAATACACAAAGGAGGTTTGCCGACAAATCTAGGTTCATGTGCGTAATATGACGCGTTTTTACAGACCAAGGTTTGTAAAAACGAGTCGAAACGCGTCATATGACGCACATAAACCTAGTTTTGTCGACAAACCTCCTTGATAAATTCCTGCCATTTTGTCACAATACCCCTCCCCGTTCATACCTCCGCTTTCCCTTGGTTACTGTCTCTAATGCAGAGCCTCAACAGATGCTTAGTGTTCATAGGGCTCGGTTCGGGTACGAAAGGCGTACAGATGACACGTTTGCCCACGAATACCTTTGTGATGAAGGCAACAATCCACCATTCAGAGAAGTGAGAAATATAGAGGTCAAGGTCTCGCTCTCTAACAACACATCGAGGGTCACCATTGGCAGAGGAAATCAACAAAAAACTGTCGGAGCCTTTTAATTAAAAAAAAAAAAGACATATGTGTAATCGCAATTTGTTCTTGTTTGCAAAATCGAAAACTAAGCAAAGTAAAAAAAATATTAAAAAATACAAATTTCAGAGAACGCAGAAGCGACGGAGAAGGTGAGTACCCCAGCTTTTTACCACCGATTATACGATAGATCACCCCAATGTATACCTCTTTAAAAGAAAAAAAACGTAGTTATGTTTAAAGCAGAGAGAAATTTCCTCAAGACGGTATCTCACAAAAATAATTAAAAACAAATCTCTTTATCGAAATGTATGATCTTGGATTGGTGTCATTTTGCTTAGGATAGAATGATCTACCCAATTTACAAAAACAAATGACATTGTGTCAACTTGACGTTGAAATTACAGACTTTGCTGAATACTTTTAGATGTATTAACGTTTAATTATGTCCCATTCTCTAGAAACATGAAATTCAGGTCAAGTTTTCACATACTTCAGAAATTACAAAACTTGGTAAGGTTTGAATAATTTAGTTGTTAACTGTAAATATTCTTACTGCTTTTCCGATGGTAAGTCCCAATAGATGCAGTATCGGGACTTGTGAAAATCGCTGAATGGGGCATCGTCAATTTTACTGGATATTTATACTTTGCATCAGACGGTGACGCCTTAAGGCCAACACAAATTATTGCTTGGTCCTCCGTTAACAGGTCTACCAGTTCAGCTGGAACTTCAGGTACTGCCTGTATGTCTTCAACGCCCCAAATCTCGCTTGGATGAAACTGGATTTCAATGCCATACTTCTCGATGCGAAGCAAGCCTGCTTGCTCATCTGATGCCCCCGTCGAATCATGAATAACATCTTCTACGACCTGTTCAGAAGATGCAGAGTCTAAGTTAAGCTGTTCTGTTTTTGAGGTCTGCACGTTTGCTTCGCTATCCACCTGTTTTTCGACACTCCCGCTTTCCTATTGTGAACCACCGGCTGGATCTACAACGAAACAACCGAAGACAGGCCTACATGTAATTACTTATTTTCGGTTAAGGTCATGGTTGTTCTCACAATTTTTTTTTTAATGTAAATTTTTAAAAAACACTTGCATTTTCGTAAGATAATACGGTAAGGTTTTCTTCTTTTTTTGGGGGGGGGGGGGGGGCGTCGGGCGTCCTTGATCAATATGGATATATTTCTTACCATTTTTGCCTTTTGATAGACGAATCATTAATGTTTTTTTAACAAAAATAAGGAACAGCATTATCTTTTCGAAAAAATATATTCCAACAGCAGGTTAATTTTCCCCATGCCTTTTGTTCACACTGCCTTGCATGGAACGACGAAAGCTCTATATTTACTGTGCGTAGGCCCTACGATAGCCGCTTCTTTCGAAGGTATTGCTCGTTTTCGGTTTTCCGTAGTTGTGTTTGACTGTTCAAATTAATAACTAACCTATATCCTCGGTTGCCCATGTTAAAATGATTTGCTTTCGAATCAATCCCTAAGGTTTTTGTCCAATTAGGTCATTATTCCACGTGTACAGTACGTCGAGGTAACACATTTCATGAAAGATCGTAATAGCCCTACGAAACATGGGATCGTCAATTTAAAGTTTAGGTACTTTCTGAAGCATATTGTAAAGCATACAATGTGTTGTATTGTCAGTGTTCCTTGTGGCCCATCCCCTCCTTTTTTCTCGACCTGTCTCTTTCGAGCGATCGGACCCTGACATATTTCAAATTTTAAAAATAATTACTCAAATGGTCTCGCTGTCCACGGACTTCCTCGGGTTTCATTAGTTGCAATAAAATACATTTATCACTAATGATAAAGGCCTATACAAGTTTTCAATTTTCATTTAACAAAGAAGGTTGGAATGTGACTTTGCCAACTCAATGAAATGACCTTATCGACGTAGTAGTCATTTCCCCTTAAAAATCCAATCTCAACATTCGATTAAGATATTATTCTAAATGAATGATATTAATTATAAATTATAAATAGGAAATGTCAAAGAAATGTACAAAAAAAAAAGCCGGATCGTACACAATACCAACTGAACTAACAATTATCGATAAACTCCGCGTGGAGAGGTGTGCTGCAGTCATTATCAGCCCTATTTGGTTCTGCTTTGTGGCCAATGAGAAAATGTACAACATCGAGGTGACCTTTGAGTGATGCCGCTTGGAGAGGTGTGTGCCCCCCAATACCAGCCCTATTTAGATCTGCTCCTTGGCCAATGAGAAACTGTACGACATCGAGATGACCATTAAATGAAGCCGCTTGAAGAGGTGTGCGCCCAACAATATTATTTAGATCTGCTCCCTGGCCAGTGAGAAACTCTACAACATCGAGGTGACCTTTGAGTGATGCCAATTCCAGAGATGTGCTGCCGTCATAACTAGAACTATTTAGATCTGCTCCTTGGCCAATGAGAAATTGTACAACATCGAGGTGACCGTAGGAAGATGCCACTTGAAGTGGTGTGCGCCCACCCATACCTGGCCTATTAAGATCTGCTTTTTCGCCAACGAGGAACTGTACAACATTGAGGTGACCATTTAATGATGCCGCTTGGAGAGGTGTGCGTCCACCAATACCAGCCCTTTTGAAATCTGCTTTTTGGCCAATGAGAAACTGTACAACATCGAGGTGACCTTTGATTGATGCTGCTTCTAGAAGCGTGCTACCATCATTACCATGCCTATTTAAATCTGCTCCTTGGCCAATGAGGAACTGTACAACATCGAGGTGACCGTTTGCTGATGCCGCGTAGAGAGGTGTCCTTCCATCCTTATCCGCCCCTTTTAGATCTGCTCCTTGACCAATAAGAAACTGTACAACATCGAGGTGACCATTGAATGATGCCATGTAGAGAGGTGTCCAGCCATCTTTATCCGTCCTTTTAAGATCTGCTCCCTGGCCGATGAGAAACTGTACAACATTGAGGTCACCGTTTGCTGATGCCGCGTGGAGAGGTGTCCAGCCATGCTTATCCGTCTTTTTTTTAGATCTGCTCCTTGACCAATGAGAAACTTTACAACATCGAGGTGACCGTTTGCTGATGCCGCGTGGAGAGGTGTCCTTCCATCCTTACTAGCACTATTTAGATCTGCTCCTTGGCCAATGAGAAATTGTACAACATCGAGGTGACCATTGGATGATGCGACGAAGAGAGGTGTTCTGCCATCATTACTAGCACTATTTAAATCTGATCCTTGGCCAATGAGAAACTCTACAACTTCAAGGTGACCATTTAATGAGGCCGTGTAGAGAGGTGTCATACCATCTTTATTGGCCCTTTTTAGATCTGCTCCTACACTAATAAGAAACTGTACAACATCGAGGTGACCATTGAATGATGCTGCATCGAGAGGTGTCCATCCATCCTTATCTTCCCTGTTTAGATCTGCTCCTTGGCCAATGAGAACCTGTACATCCTCGATGTGACCATTGAATGATGCCCCATGGAGAGGTGTCCAATCATCATTTTCAGCCTCTGGAAGGTCTGCTTTTTTAATTTTGTCCCCATCCATGATAAGAATAAAACTGATCTGAGTGTCTGCCTGTAATTTCTAGACTGTATAATTAAAGTATATAGGCTATTTGATCAGCCAACTAGAACTGTATTACAGCCGATGAAGACATGAAGTTATTGTCGCCCCTAACGACTCCAAGCTATGGGACGAAGATAGATAGATAGACTATAAGTGCCGCTTATTATCTGCTCCGAGTAAAACGGTTGGCAGTGGTCTTCTATAATGCACCAGCAAACTTCATTTAGACCGCGTAATGCTTCTTGCCCACAAAGGATATCACTTCTTCTCCACATTCTATTAATCAAATGTTGTTCATGTCAGCTGCATCGGTACGTTCCATTTCCGAATAAACACGACGGTTTTATACATTCTCCCATTAATGTCACGTATCTATCACCTCCTTTCGAAAGTGTATAAGCGGGCTAGACCTACAGATATGGCAATGTTGTTATTCCGAAAGAAAAAAAAACACCAGCGTGATCTCATACGAAACTTGTATGATGTGACGTTTAGTACAGGCTACAATGGACGCAACGCTATACCCAGTCGCTGCATAATGATACTAACGCACTCAGCCGTCTACCTGCTTCCTCAAAAACATATATTGTAGAAATTGACATATGATCGGAATTTAGTTTCTGTTTACTCTTTTACTCGGGTCAATGAATAGTCAATAATAGGCCTATACAATGTGGCACAATACAAAAGGGACTAGCATATCATCCCATAACGTGACGAAGAAGAATATGTTCTCGTGAAAAATTTGCTACTATCATTTACAAATTTGGTAGAGATTTTTGTTGTTGTTTTGGGTAGGATTTTGTGATGCAATAATTCATATAAGTTCAAGTTTGTCCAATATTACGGAAATAGCATTTAAAAACATGAGTACTATTTACGTCTGCGTTAAAATCCTTTAAAACGCCTGTACACATATGGCCCGAATTCACAAAGGAGGTTTGTCGACAAACCTTGGTTTTCATACGTCATATGACGCGTTTTACGCGTTTTTTACAAACCTGGTTTGTAAAGAACAAAAGGAGGTTTGGCGAAACAAAAGGAGGTTTGAGCTCAAACCTTGGTCTGAGCTCAAACCTTGCTTTGTGAATTCGGGCCATATTTTTTAGAAAGTCAATTTATGTTCAATCTGATGTGTATTACAGCTTGACAAAAGCTTGCATTAATACCATTCTGAAACTCAACAATGATACGTAATATCCGCATGGAGCCCTGCCAGTGGATCTTTTCAATATTTTGCCGAAAATGCATCTTTAAAATAAGAACTTTGGTTTGTAGAGGTGTTGTGGTATATAGTAAATACCCGTCATCGGACTGTGGATCAAATGGCTCGCGGTTAGAGTCCCACCGCGCGACACTAATGTACTTTGGCGAGAAAATATATTCTACAATTACCACTCTCCACCCAGGTGAAGTGAATGGGTTTCTAGTAGAAAAAAACATCATTGAATGCTTGAGCCCCTGGGGGCTCGTGCGGCTTCATGTTAATATACAGCCGATGTAGTATATAAATGGACATATTATTATTATTATTATCATATTACTACTACACTGTATTAGGTTTTTTCAAAAGATTCCCCATCTACTGATACCGGTTAAATTTGCTCTGCATTATCGGAAGTATGCTAGTCCGTTTTTGTTATTGCCACCCTGTCGTTATAGGCGCAACTAGTCGACTGGGACAGACAAGAGAAGTATCAATGAAACACAAACCAGTCTCTAAGGCTCAGCGCACACCACACGATCCGAATGAGATCCGATTTAGCGCATTTTATATGAACATTGAAACATGTAAAATGTGAATGATTGTGGTGAGTGCCCCTTTTCATCTGTGGTGAGTGTCCACTCTCAGGTGCGAAAAGTGCCCCTTTTTAATAATAGCCCTTCTCTTTTTCATAAATGTCTCTTTTCACATCTGATAATCACCCATTTTTTTTTAGACACGTGCCCCTTTTCCTTTCAAATAAGTGCTCTTCTTATTACTGATAAGTGGACCTTTAATTTTTTTTAATGGGAGCCCCTTCTCATTCTTATATGTGCCCGTTTTTACCTTTTCATTTGCTCCTATGCAATAAAATTGTAATTTCCTCGAAAATCGGATTGGAGGACGAGGGGGTATAGTGTGCGGTGTTCTTTAATCTATACTAGGTTATTTCTCCCTCAATCTTCTTTCTCTACATCTCGTTCTCTCTCTCTCTCTCTTTCCCTCTCTTTCTCTCTCTATCTCACTCTCACTTTCTTTTTCCATTTCTATTCATCTCTCTCTGACTCTTTATCCATCACTCAACATATACGCCTATCTATCTATCCATCTATTTAATTTCCTCTCCCCCCTTTCTTTATAAATATATATCTTTCCCTCTCTTCCATTTTGAGTCGCCACAGAGTATTTTGATTCATATATTTCGTTATGCTAGGAGTCCACTGGGCCGGCGCCAGTTGGTGCCAGTTCGCGCCAAAGATTATGTGATTGGCGCGTAGTGGCTCGCTGTGGCGCCGAATTAATGTCCGCTCGGCATGTGTCGCCAAGTGGAATAAACTGGGTGCCATATGGCGTGCGCCAAATGCCATCCGGCTTGCTCCAAAATGTTGCGCCAATTCGCGCCAGTTTGCGCCATTACACGGCCATTTGATTCCAAAATTCACCCTGTTGGCGCCATTCGCGCCAATAGACGGCTACTTTGCGCCACTTGGTGATTAGTTTGTGCCAAAGGTCGCCAAATTGGTTTGAACTTGCCGCCGCTTGGCGCTACTTGCCGACTAAATAAATACCGGCCATTGGCTACCTGGTTCAGACCCTCCTCAGCTGCTGTATGAACAACATCTCTACTAAATATTTACAATTTTGATATGTCTGAGGCTTTTGATAATGTTGGAGTGATGATGCTGCTCCATCAGAAGATGATGAGAGATTTTGAGGTGGCCACTGCCTATCAACTTATGCTGGCCAATCCTGAAGAAGAAGAGCCTCCTAAGAAGAAAAGGAAGCACAACTGGTGGTTTAGACCCATGCTCCACCCAGTTGAGGGCCGAACGTGGACAGTACCACACTTTGATGGAAGAGCTGAGTGAGAATGACAGGAGGAAGTTCAAGAACTACACCAGGGTGTCCCCAGGGATGTTTGATGACCTGTTGGTCAGGCTTACACCCCACTTGCAGAGAAAGGACACCCACATCAGGAAGGCCATTCCCCTGGTCTCAAGTTGTCCGTCTTCCTGCGCCATCTCGCCAATGGGGCCACCTATGCCGAGCTGTCTTTCAACTTCCGAATGGGCAAGGAAACCATCCAGAAGTTTGTCCCTGATGTAGCCAGAGCGGTAGTGGATGAGTATGCTGCAGAAGTCATCTCCCTCCCCACAACCAATGAAGGCTGGCTTGAGGTTGCAGGTGATTTTGCAGCCAGATGGAATCTTCCTCACTGTCTTGGGGGCTATGATGGAAAGCACATCCGTCTCCAGAAGCCCAACAAATCAGGCAGCCTTTACTTCAACTACAAGCAGTTCTTCTCGGTTGTCCTGATGGCTCTGGTAGATTCAAAGTACCAGTTCCTGTGGATCGATGTGGGTGGGGTTGGCCATCAGTCTGATGCCCAGATCTACAACAACAGTGAACTGAAGGAGTGCATTGAAGCTGGCACTTTAGGCATCCCAGATCCAGCTGCTCTTCCCCATGATGATGAAGAGCACCCTATGCCGTACTCCTTCGTGGGAGACTATGCCTTCGCCATGAGGACGTACATGATGAAGCCTTATGGTCGTCGTAACATGGACCAACAGCAGAAGATCTTCAACTACAGGCTGTCCAGGGCAAGGCGTGTGGTTGAAAATGCCTTTGGTATTCTGGCTCTGCGGTTCCAGTGCTTCCTTGGCCAGATGAGACAGGAACCAGACACAGTCCGCTTGCTCATTGAAGCTGCCGTCATGCTGCACAACCTCATCAGGAAGCACTATCAGGCATGGGTCGTCCTAGAGCTTGGAGAACTGCCGCCATCACTGTGAGAAAGTCCTGCGATGCCGCCCTGCTGTTATAGGCGGCAAGTGGCGCCGAATGGCGGGCAATCAGGTGAAAAATATGCCCTACATAATAGAAGATAAAGTTTATGAAGTTCTAAAACCTTAACCTCAAGAAGCCCTATGGGCGAAATTGAGTTTATCCTAAACATTTCAACAGAGTTCTTTACCCCGCCTAATACCAGGTGTTTATACAGTGGGAAACCATTTTCACGAGGTACTAGGGACCAAGAAAATTATCATGTAATATCAGGAATCTAGTTATATTATAAGAATATAGAGAGCTAGGACCAACACAATTCAGCTTCTTATAACAAATATACTAATATATCAGAGCTCTTTATGTACATGTAAACGTGTATACACACACGCACACACGCCCGCCCACCCACACACACATTAAGTGTATAGTCTCGCGTCAATTGAAGAAAAATAGACATCTAAAAAAGTAAAAAAAATAAAACAACGGTAGGAGATACAAATATTAAATGACAAGATTTATTCAAAACAAGAACATATTTCCAAAAAATTGAAAAAAGGCACAGCTACTAACTTTAGAAAATTTATGTACATTATGGTGACACTCTGAAGAGTAGGAAAGTATTTACAGTGATTCAAGGACTCTTACCTACTTATTTTCTCTTTGTTATGATAGCTATTATTCAATAAGCCATTTTGGGGGTAATACCACGAAATTTAATGCACACATCTTTGTTAAGTGCCTCGTTGAAAATTATTTCATTAACTGTTGAGAATAACTGTATTTCAATAGTAAGAATGCGAATTGCATAAATTCCGTGCTGTTTGGTAGGACAATCCATATTGTGTGTGTATTAAATTTGATGACATTATGAAAATGGCCCATTGAAGCAATGATAAATTACACTTAAAACCGAAAGGTAATCCAACCCTTGTAATAATTTCATTGGTATTAAAGCGGAAGCAGTCGGACTAAATAAGGGACAGCT